AAATATAATTTTATCTTTTCAGAAGCCTTGTGACATAGGCAATGCTAATATTAACCCTTTTCAAACATAGCGAAAGCCCACACTTTTAAAACAGAAGTTGGACTAAAGAATTGAAAACAGAAAAACTGGTTTAGGGTGTTGAATGAGCAGAGGACATCATGAGCACAGTGTGCACTTGAATGATGATAGAGGAAGAGGGACTGCAGAGATTCAGAACAGGAAGCAGATGAATGTAAAATACATTTTGTTTGCTTCAGCATTTTTACCCAAGCTCTTGAAGACATCTGATATGCCACTAGAAATCACCCAAGGCTAAAATTTACCAGGTTCTTGGTATCTTGAAAAGCTATCAACATTAGTTTGCTAGGCTTCTTAAGGTTCACCTCTAGAATCATCTATACCAATTAGCTTCTTAAGGTTCACCTCTAGAATCATCTATACCAATCCAATTCAATTTCTCTAGGTAAGTCTGTTTCCCAAAATTCACTTATTTGCATACTGCTTTTATAATTCTGGTCATATGCATACATCGTCATATTATTTTTTAAATTGTTAGAAATGGATTTATTTAAATATTCCAAATAATTTAAAAAATTTGAGATTAACTTCAGACAGCATAACATTAACCATTTAAAGCATACAATCATTGGTATTTAGTGTATTCAAAATGTTGCAACTACCAGTTCTCTAGTTTCAAAAGTGTTTCATCATCCTATAAAAACACCCCAGACCTATTAATTAATAATAATTCATTCTCCCACTTTAAAAAGAAACATTCCAATACTATCAAAAATGTAAAAAACCAATATGATTCTAAATAGAACATAGCAAATTTTGAAAATAAAACATTCATTAGCCAGATACTAGCTGGATACTATTATCTGCCAAGGCTCTGTGTCTTCGATTTTTCTATGTTAAAAAGGGATATTAGCAAAAGTTATGGGGGTATTAAAGACACATCAGTACTAAATCAAGACTTTCTGCTTGGTATAACAAATAATTGAAGGAAATTAAAAAAATACACCTTTCTCACTATGAGATTGACTGCTATTTAATGTTATTTTCTTTACCATCTAAAATTTGTCTTGCTATAGCTGAATTCATTCTTTCTTTCATTCCACTATTAAAAGGGTTGCATATTATTCCCAGAGTCCTTTATAACTGAATTCCTAAAATTCAGAGAGTGTGTTCTTCTAAATATTGGTGACTGCAGTTTTCATTATCCTCAAACATATAAAATCCGTTATTTACCAAGTAGTAAACTAGATGATTTCAGAGTTTTAAAGAAAAGATACAAATAATATAAATATATAGTTTATATATATTTAGACATATATCTTTGTTATAATCTTTATAATAATTTATATATGTAAATCTTTGTTGTGAAAATTAATTTATGCATAATTAACAGACCATAAAACTGATAATAGTCAATAGACAAGTATATTATATTCTAAAAGTTATCTGTTTTAAACTATTTGGAACTTTTATACTTTTTCTTAGAGACTGAGTTAATATCAGCTATTATGAATATTCCAGATTAGCACAATATGGCTTACCTTTTTATTATCTTCTTTAAGTTCTCCAGTGGTGGTTCTGGTATGATAGAAATAGTATTTTGCATCACAAACCGGTTTCCACATCTGAGCAATAAACTTCATCTCTACCTAGTTATAATGAATCAAATAAGAAAATCTTTGTGTAAGTAAACAGCACAGTCCCTGGTACTTGGTTGAAGGTCTATTAAGTGTGCATTCATTTATTCAGTCACTCATATTCATAGCCATTTTAAAATTAATTGTTAATTGACAAGTAATAATTGTACATATCCATGGTGTACATAGTGATGAATTCATCCTTTCCTTCACTTCACTGTTATATTTGATACATATAATGTATAGTGATCAAAAATCAGGATAAGTAACTTCAATCATCTCAACATTTATCATTTCTTTGTGTTGGGAATTTTCAATATCCTCATTCCAGCTATTTGAATGAATTTTCAATATCTTCATTCCAGCTATTCTGTACCACCTGCTGTGGTACAGAACACTAGGACTTATTTCTCTTTTCTAGCTCTAATTTTGTGTATCTGTTAACAAATTTCTTCCTAACCCTCTTTTCCCTCTACCTTTCTCAGCCTCTAGTAGTCTCTGTTTTACTTTTTACTACAAGATCAACTTTTTTTTCACTCACATGAGTGAGAACATGTGGTATTTAACTTTCTGTTTGCAGCTTATATCACTTATCTTCCAGTTCCATCCATGTTACTATGAATGACAGGATTTCATTCTCTTTTATGACTGAATAGTATTCCATAGTGCATATATATAATAGTTTCTTTATTCATTATTGGACACCTAGGTTGATTCCATATTTTGGCTATTGTGAATAGGGCAGCAATAAACATGGGAGTGCAAATATCTCTTTGACACATGGATTTCTTCTCCTTTGGATACTGTAGGGGATAGGGAGAGTTTTCCCTTGGTTCCCTGATGTTTTGCTGAAAAATCAACTCACAAAAGGCAGATTAATTAGAGAAAAGGCATACAGATTTATTTATCATGTATACACAGGAGCCTTCAGAATGAAGATCAAAAGATACAGGGGAAATTGTTCATTTTTATGCTTAGGTTCAACAAAGTATGGACAGTCACGTAGAAATATGATTGGACAAATAGGGGTGATGTAATGCTAACAGACTGGGGAAACCTAGGAGGGCCATCTGTCTAGATTCTTTTTGGGTTATCTGAGTATGCATTCTTTCCTTCCGGGTATGGGACAAGACTCTCTCTCGGATGGGGCTGTAATAACCTACAGTGAAACAATGTAGGTTAGATAATTCCTTTGCGGTCAGTTTTTACACTGAAAGCCAGAGGGAAAATTAGAGTAATATTTATAGGATTTATGACTAGCTTTGGATTTATGAATAGGGGTTTTGGTTTCTACAACCCACCTTGGCCAGGGATTCTAGTTTCTATGGCCAGCGTCTGGAGAGAATGGGACAGAGAGAGACAGGAGGGCAGGAGAAAGAGAAAAACATTTGCTTTAGAGGCTACCTCTGAGGCTTTAATTTTGGGATATTGTTTTCTGGGCCCTAAAAATATATATACTTACTAGTAGCTTTGCTGGATCATCTGGTAGTTCTATTTGTAATTTTTTAAGGAATTGTTCTCCGTAATGGCTATACAAATTTACCTTCCCATCAATAGTGTATGAGTTCCTTTTTCTCCATATCCTTGCCAGCATTTGTTATTACTCTTTTTTTCTTTTTGATAATAGTTATTCTAACTGGATTGAGATGTTATCTTGTTGTAGTTTTGATTTGCATTTTCCTGATTATTAGTGATGTTCATATTTTTTCATATACATGTTGATAATATGTATGTCTTCTTCTATCTGTTCAGATCATTTGCCCATATTTTATATTTTGTTTTTATTATTATTATTATCTGAGTTGGAATCTCACTCTGTCACCCAGGCTGGAGTGCAGTGGTGTGATCTTAGCTCACTACAGCTTCCTCCTCCTAGGTTCAAGCAATTCTCTTGCCTCAGCCTCTTGAGTAGCTGGGATTACAGGTAGCCGCCACCACGCCTGGCTAATTTTTTTTTTTGTAGTTTTAGCAGAGATGTGGTTTCACCATGTTGTCCAGGCTCATCTTGAACTTCTGACCTCATGTGATCTGCCTGCCTCAGTCTGCCAATATATATATTTTGTTAATTAGAAACAGTATTTATTTCTGCTCCTTTCATACATCTTATTGTTCAGGAAACAGTCTTACATACGTATCTGAAATAATCTGCCATCACACACTCTAGTTAAAGGCAAAGCACCATAGGTAAAGCTGATCAGCTGTCCAGAGTTCTCAGCTTATGGAATCTTGCTTCTTGATTTTATGTTAATTTCTGAAAATCAGAATGTCATTTCCAAAAAATGTTAAGGGGGTTGTAAAAAATAATCACTTTATTTGGTATTATAGTTGTAGATATGGAGTATATTTTCTTTAAGAAATGAGAAACTAAGAATAAAATGCCACTCAACATCATTGGTATAGCAGTAGGTCAGCAGGAAAAAAAAATACTGTGATCAACTTGTCTCTTTAAACCAAGAAAGAAATTCTAGTCCAAGTTTCAATATACTTCCTACTTTTTCACTAGATATTTCTTTTACTGCTGCTCTTCATTCTTTTCCACATTTCACATTAGAGGATTGGTACAGCCTTTAAACGTCCTTGACAGGTACAAATTCAGTTTCCACTGATTTCTTCTCAAAGGCACTCTATCTAACCCATCAGATAGCCTGGCAGTTTCATTCTCATGAATACTCTCGCCATGAAAAAACTCAGTAGAACACAGACGAATCCAATGAATAGAAGAAGAAATCTATTGAGTTTTGGGATATTTGGTGCATTCGATCGGTCCAGGATTATGAGACCTAAACCTCCCATTGTAAACAGGAAGTTGGATGCAAGTCATTCCATAATATATTGTCCATATACTCTGTAGGGCAGGAAAGCTACTGGCCTCTGATGCCCGTGTTCATCAGTCATAGAGCCAAAACTTGGCGGTTCAACAATAACATCATAAATTATTCCTCCCGTGATGAGGAAGTAAGACCTCATATGATCTTCCTGCCTCAGTCTCTCAAGATGCTGGAATTACAGCGTGAGCCACCGCCCCCCGGCCTGCCAATATATATATATATATATATATATATATATTTTTTTTTTTTTTGAAGGGAGAACACAGGAAACTCTTTATTATGCTGATGCGATCGACAGCCCTCCTGCTGTTAACCTTCGCTCCTGCACACTTCAGTGCCCTCACCCTGTAGGGCTCGCTGGCCTGGGCTTCTGCGACACTCGATCTTCTGGGAGAGGGCACTTGGTGCCCTTTTTGGGGCGGAATTTGCTAGGCCACTGTAGCAGCGGTGCCGGGCCGAGTTGGCCAGCTTTTTGTTCTTTAATTGGACTCTTGGCTAAAACGCTACCGACACCTCGTCAGGTAGTGGAGGAAGGGGGACAACAGAGAGAGATCGAGGGCCAGGACGGTCTCGAGGAGTAGAGGAAGGTAGAGCGGATGGTCCATCCGGGCGGGAGTTGGCTGGGCGAGTGGCTGCGCATGTGCGCTTGCATGGAGGCCAGGCTGGAACAGCCGGCCCCGCACAGGGGGCAGCGGTACGGAGCAGCCCCGTGCGTCTGCAGGTGCTTGGTCATGGCCGAGAAGTCCCGGGAGCGCTGAGGACAAAGGCTACAGGAGAAGGGCTTCTCTCCTGTGTGGACTTGGTAGTGCGTCTCCATCTGATGCTTGAGTGAAAACCTCTTTCCGCAGACAGAGCACACGTAGGGCCGAGATCGAGCAGGAGGGGCTGGGGGAAGGTGCGGGCGAGGTGGGCAGCCTGCCTTGCCCTCATGACCTGCACAGGTTGCAGGTACACCTGTGTGCCCCTGATCAGACTCTTCCATCTCCCCAGGGCTGAGCTGTGTGGGGCCCTTGGGGAGGGAACCCGGGGTGGGGCTGGAGGAGGCCAACTGGTTCTGGCTCCAGAGCCCTTTGGGGGCATTTAGGGACAGTGGGATCCTGTGGTCCTGCCAGACCTCCTGCCAGGCTCCAGTGGTGGGGGCGCTGTGGGAGAAGGGAGTGCCATATCCAGGCGGCACCAGCAGGATGCTCCACAGGGCAGGCTGGTCCCCCACCAGCCAAGAGGCCTCAGCCCACCGGAGCCTGGGGGTGACGCTGGTTTGGGGGACGCCTACTGGGGGAAAGGGGCTAGGGAACTCCCATAGACTTTCCTTGGAGCCCCCTGGATTCTCCCTCACCCACATGAGCACTCCTTGCTTCCCATCTGCTCCCCTTTGGCCAACAGGGGCTTGGAGGCGGTTCTCCTTTGACCTCATCTGCTCCCCCTGAGCCTCCTGCGCTGTTCCTGCCTTCTCGGAGGTGCCTCTTGGTGGTGCCTGCTTGTGCAATATCTGTTCTCTCCCACCAGTTGGAGAAGCTTGCTCTGGTTTCTGCTTCTGGTCCCCCAGTTTTCTCTCAGGATTCCATGAGGGTTTCTCTGGCTTCTCCTGGTGTTTCTTCAGGCCTGGATCTGGCTCCTTAGCCCTGTCTCCTCGAGCCCTTCAGTATGCCTCTTCCAGGGACCGTATGCCCAAGGCCCTGGCCACCTCCTCAAGGGGTCCTAGCTCCTCAGGCCGCAGCTCTACACTCTCCCCATACACAAAGTGCAGGAGCTTGGCAAAGGTGGAAGTGCCGATGCCATTTCCCAGAGCCCACTGGCCCCTGTGGACCAGCTGCTGGCTGACACCTGCTAGCACCAGACTGTGGGCCGGGAAACTCCTGGCTCCCTACGGTGATCAGGGTATCACATAGGGCTGGCCGGAGCCTGGGTGCTAGCTGTACCAGCCGATCAGAGCCATAGGGGCTGGGCAGTCTTATGGGTGGCAGGGGCATTGTGCCTTGCTTGGGAACCAGTCTCAGAGGCTCTAAGAGAAAGGCCACAGTGTGAGGTCCATGGTTGAAAGGGGAGGGAGGAACATCTAATCTCAAGCCCACCCAGCCCATTCCTTCTTCCCTTTCAGCCTCATGCACACTCAGGATGGCTCAAGCCTGAATGGCCGTTAAAAGTGGGGAGTGGAGCGAGCTTTTTGTTTGTTTTTTGTTGATGATTTTAAGGAATTCACAGTCTCATCAGGATCAACACACATGCTGCTATTTTGTACAAATGAAGCTCAGAAGGAGCAGCTGGGAAAGTCAGGAGGGCTTCCCAGAGGAAGCAGTAGGTCAGTAGGGTCTTGAAGAATGAGTAGGGGTTGTTCCAGAGGGAGAAGGAGAGATGTTGAACAGAGTGGAGATGATGACCGAGAGAGACCCTGAATGGAAACACCAAGAGACTTCATTCCTTTCTGGATCTTGGGCTGGGATGCTGTTGTTAGCAACTTGGGATGGGCTTTAGCTGGAATGTGTTTCCAAATGCGGGCACAGGTATAGCTCATTGTGGGGAGCAGGAAGAGGCTGGAGCAGTGGCAGGGCGGGGGCCTGCCAATATTTTAATTGGATTTTCTTTTTTTTTTTCCTGTTGACTTTTTTGTATATTCTGGATATTAATCGCCTGCTGGATAAGTAGTTCATTATTCATGCATAAAAATGCTACTGATTTTTGTATGTTAAATTTGTACCCTACAAATTTACTGAATTCTGTTATCAGTTCTAAGAGGGGTTTTTTTTTTTTTTTGGTAATAAAGTATTTAGGTTTTTCTATATATAAGATCATGTCATCTCCAAACAGGGACATTTTGACTTCTCCTTTTCCGATGTGGATGCCTTTTATGTATCTGTTGCCTAACTACTCTGGTTAGGACTATTAGTATGTTGAATAAAAGTAGTGAGATTGGGCATCTTTGTCTTGTTTCAGTTCTTAGCTGCAAGCGTTTTCTTGTTCAGTAAGATGCCAGCTGTGGGTTTGTCATATTTGGCCATTATTATGTTTAGGTACATTCCTTCTATACTTAATTTATTAAGAGTTTTTAACATGAACGGATGTTGAATTTTATCAAAAGCTATTTCTACATCTGTTGAGATCATCTTCTGGTTTTTGTCCTTTCTGTTGATAGGATGTGTGCTGTTTATTGATTTGCATATGTTGAAACATCCTTGCATTCCTGAGATAAATCCCACTTGATCATGATGTATCTTCTTACTGATTTGTTGTTAGAACTCAGCTTAGTAGTATTTTGGTGACAATTTTTGCAACAATGTTCCTCAGGGATACTGGCTGTAGTTTTCCATTTGTTGTTGTTGTTGTTGTTGTATCCTTGTCTAGTTTTGGTAACAGGGTTATGCTGGCCTTATAGAATGAATTAGGAAGAATTCCCTCATTTATTTTGTGGGATAGGTTGGAAAGAATTGGTATTAATTCTTTTTTAAAGGTTTGTTAGAATTCGGCTATCCAGTCTTGGACTTTTAAAGCTATCCAGTCTTGGACTTTTTCATTGTTGGAAGACTTTTTACTACTGATTCACTCTAATGACTTGAAATTGATCCATTCAGGTTTTCTTTTTCTTCTGGGTTCAATTTTTATAGATTGTATGTGTCCAGGAATTTGTTCATTTCCTCTGAACTCAAATTTGTTGGCATATTGTTGTTCATAGTACTTTCTGATGATCCATTATATTTCTATGGTGTCCATTGTGACGTCTCCTCTTCTGTTTATGATTTTTTCAAATTTGAGTCTCTTCTCTTTTTTTCTTAGTTTTGCTAACAGTTTGTTGATTTTGTTTATCTTTTCAAAGAACTTACTTTTTGTTTGAGTGATCTTTTATATTTTTTTAGTCTCTTTTTTTGTTTGTTTTTTTGAGACGGGGTCTCACTGTGTCTTTCAGGCTGGAGTACAGTGGCTTGATCTTGGCTTATTACAGCCTCAACTCCCTGGGCTCAGGTGATTCTCCTGCCTCTTCCACCTGAATAGCTGGGACTACAGAATGTGCCACCACGCCCACCTAATTTTTGTATTTTTTTGTAGAGATGAAGTTTCACCATGTTGCCCATGCTGGTCTCAAACTCATGGGCTCAAATGATCCTCCTGCCGTGGCCTCCCAGAGTGCTGGAATTATAGGCATGAGCTACCACTCCAGGCCGCAGTCTCATTTTTGTTTATTTATGCTCTGATTTTTTAAAATTTCATGTGCTAATTTTGGGTTTGGTTTTTTTTTCCCTTCCTTTTCTAGTTCTTTGAGGTGCATTGTTAGGTTTTTTTATTTGAAATCTTTCTAGTTTTTTGGCATAGTCATTTATTACTATAAACTTGCCTCTTAATACTGCTTTTGTTGTGTGCCATAAGCTTTGGTACATTATGTTTCTATTTCCATTTATTTCAAGGAATTATTAAAAAATTTCATTCTGAATTTCATCTTTAACCTATTGGTTGTTTAGAAGCATTTTATTTAGTTTTCATGTATTTGTATAGTTTTGAATGTTCCTCTTGTTATGTCTAGTTTTATTCCATTGTGGTAAGATAGCATACATCATATGATCTCTATTTTAAAAAGTTTTTTGAGACTTGTTTTGTGTCCTAACATATGGTCAGTCCTGGAGAGTATTCCATATGCTGCTGAAAAGAATGAAGTGGTTAGGTGAAATATTCTGTAAATGTCTTTTAGGTCTGTGGTGCACTTTGTGTAGAGACAAGGTTTGACTCTGTCACCTTGGCTGGAGTGCAGTGGCATGATCGTAGTTTACTGCAGCCTCGAATTCTTGGACTCAAGTGATACTCCTTCCTCAGCCTCCTGAGTAGCTAGGACTACAGGCATATGGCATCACAGCCAGCTTTTTTTTTTTTGGGGGGGGGGCGGGGGGAGAGACAGGATTTCACTATGTTACTGAGGCTTGTCTCAAATTCCTGGCTCAAGTGATCCTCTGCCTTAGCCTCTCAAAGTATTGGGTTTACAGGCATGAACCTCCATTTCTGGCATGTGGTGCAGTTTAAATCTATGTTTGTTTCTTGATTTTCTGTTTAGATGACCTGTCCAGTGCTGGCAGTGGGGTGTTGAAGTTCCCCACTATGATTGTATTGAAGTCCATTTCTGCCTTTAGATCTAATAATGTTTGCTTTATATATCTGGGTGCTCCTGTGTTGGATGCATATAGATTTACAATTGTTATATTCTCTTGCTGAATTGATCCTTTTATTATACAATGTACTTTGTCCCTTTATAGCCTTTAACTTGAAGTCGTTTTGTCTGACGTAAGTGTAGCTGCTCCTGCTCATTTGATTTTCATTTGCATGGAATATCTAAGTGTGTCTTTACAGCTGAGGTGAGATTCTTGTAGGCAGAATATGGTAGTGTCTTGTTTTATCATTTGTGCAGATAGTCTGTATCTTTTAAATGGGGGGAATTTAATCCACTTAACATTCAAGGTTATTGATAAGTGAGGACTTCCTTTATTGATTTTCTGGTTATTTTGCATATGCTTTGTTACTATTCTCTTATTATTTTTATGGTTAGGTGTTTTTCTGTAGTGATAGGGATTGATTGTTTTCTCTTTTTCCTTTTGTATCAGCTCTACCAGTGAGTTTTATGGTTATACATGTTTTCATAATGGTGGTTATTGTCTTTTCACTTTCAGTTGTAAGATTCCCTTGAGCATGTCATGTAAGGTTGATCTAGTGGTGATAGATTCCTTTGGTTTTTGCTTCTCTATTGGAAGATTTTATTTTTCCTTCATTTCTGAAGGATAGCTTTGCAGGGCATAGTATTTTTAGCTAGCAGGGTTTCCCCATCCCTGCTTTCAATACTTGGAATATATCATCCCATTTTCTCCTGGCCTGTAAGCTTTCTGCTGAGCTATCTGCTGTTAGTCTAATGGAGAGTCCTCTATTTATGACTTGACTTTTTTCTCTTGAATGCTTTTGGAATTTTTAATCTTTTAACAGTTTGACTGTGTTGAGCTCCAGAGAGGATCCATTTGAGTTGAATCTGTTTGGGGTTCTTTGAGCTCCCTGGACCTAAATGCTCATCTCTCTCCCAAGAATTGGGAAATTTTCTGCTATTATTTCCTTAAATATTATTTTCTCACCTTGACCCTTGTTTTTTCCTTCTGGAATGTCCATAATGTGAATATTTGGTTGCTTGATGGTGTCTAATAAATCCTTCAGACTTTCCTTATTCTTTTTTATTCATTTTTGTCCCTGCTTGTGTTATTTCAAAAGACCTATCATCCAAGTTCAGATTTTTTTTCCTCCATTTAGTATAGTCTGTTGTTGAAGCTCTCAGTTATATTTTCTATTTCATTCATTTAATTCTCAGCTCTAGGATTTCTTTTTGGTTCTTTTTTATGATACTCTATGTGTTGAATGTATTACTTATAAGTTGTTTTCCTGACTTTGTTAAATTGTTTATCTGTATTCTCTTGTAGCTAACTGAGATTTCTCAAGATTATTATTTTGAATTCTTTTTCTGGCATTTCATATATTTTCTTATGATTGTGGTCTATTACTGGAGAATTATGTTTTTCTTTGGAAGTGACATGTTTCCTTGCTTTTTCATTGTTCTTGTGTCTCTGTGTAAATTTCTATGAATCTAGTGGACCAGTTGCCTCTTCCAGTTTTATTCACTAGGTGTCATAGGAAAGACTTACTCATATGAATGTATCTTGGGTTGTTGATTTGATGGAGTGCATTGGCTTTGGTTCTAAGTGGAAATAGTAATGTAGTCTTCATAAAGTTTCTTCAACTGTAATCCATACTGGGGCATTTTGGAGTTTCTCAGTGACCTAGGCTGAGAGAGTTTGTGGTGACAGTAATGCAGCTTTGCCAGGGTTGGGCTCACTGGGCTATGTCTTAGGTTGGGCATCATGCACACAGTGGGTCAGGCAGCTTGGATTCTGGCTCACTGGGGTTGTGGCCACAGGGATGTTACTCTAGCCAGGAGCACAGGCATGCTTGTGGTTGCTTG